GACTCTGTAATAGGCTTCTCTTAGGTCCAATTGGGCCAACATATCCTTCATCAGAGGGAGGGGGTAAACATTCTGTATGCACACAGCATTTAGGTTTTTGTAATTAGCATAGAGATGAAAGGAGCCATCTTTCTTTTCTCTAAACAACACTGGAGCAGCCACTCGGGGCCTAGCAGGTTCAATAAACCCCCTTTGCAATTTTTTGTCAATAAACTTCCGTAATTCATCCATTTCACGGGGGGTCATTGAATAGATTTGGGGTTTTGGAAGTTTTACCCCCGGGAGGATATCAATGCTGCAATCTATGGCATGGTGAGAGGGTAATTTATCAGAGGATTTTTCACTGAAGACATCCCTTAGGTCCCAATATTCTTTTGGGATTTTCTCCTCCCCCTCAATTTTCTCTTGCCCTGTGGCTGCTAGCTTAGATTCAGTGTTAGCAAGTTTGGGAGACCCCCCCTCCCCCTCTCCCTGTAGCAGATCGGATGCGCAACCACCCTTTCCTCCAATTGATGTGTGGGTTCCATTTACATAACCAGGGTAAGCCCAATATGAGAGACCGATCCATTCCTGGTGTGACAATAAAACTTATTGTCTCTTGGTGAGTTCCCATCCACATGTTTATTGGTTCAGTCACAAAATGGGCAGGGCTCCCCCCAGCTATTGGGCTGTCCAGCTGGCAAAAAGCAATGGGGACTTTTAAAGTTTTCAGTTTCAGGCCCATTTTTTCCACCACTTCAGGGCTAACGATGCAACGTGTGCAACCTGAATCTAAAAGGGCCAGCATTTTTTCTTGCGCTCCAGTTGAGGGCACTTTAAGTTCTACTGGGATAGTCATGGGGCCTGATCAGGAACTTACGAGACGTTCATCGTCAGATTCGGTTTCACTTTCCTCTGATGAGGAGGATGGTTCCTCTTCCCCTGGAGTAGGATGGAACTGCGCAGTAGGCTCCACCCCTTTCATGATGGTATCCCTCCTCTTCCCAGGCTGTTTGTCTGGCTTTCTCCCCCCCCTCCCAGCAGAAGGCTTTGGGCCCATCTTGGTGCGGCAGTT